ATATTGGCCACGTCAATTTTTGAGTGCCACGTAGTACATTTTGTAACGGTACCGTGACGTCGCGTTAAAATGTTGGGTTTTTTACGGGTTTTGAAAAGTTAAGGGTGTGAATAGGGAGGAAAAATTTTGGAAGGTGTTGACCGTGGAAAACAATTAAGTGTAGGGTGCAAATAGGGGCTTTGGCCTAAAATTAATTTTTATTTTAATTATAAATACCACATGATTAGTTTTTTATTTATTCATTTTAAAATTAAGATCAAAATTTATTTTTTTAATTAAAAATCTCACATCTTTTTAAGAAAAAATTAATAATTATTATCTAATAATTAAACTTTATCCTATGCCTTTTAAGGCACAGAATACACAAACTCAATAAAAGCATAATAATAAAACTATCTTTATTATGAGTGTCGTGTTTTTTTTTTTAACAAGGTTACAATTTTTGGGGGTGAGAGGAATCAAACCTCAGCCTTCAAGTTGGGAGACGCACTTTACAAATTAACTTATCGTTATTGGGCCATGAGGTCCAGGTGCATAAGTGTGGTGTTTTATTATGCAAATTACAGTAACTAGTTATAAAATAAAAAAATATTTATTATTAAGAGGTTTTTTTTGGTTATTTAATAATTTATATTTTGTAATTTAATACAACATAAATTGAATAATACTATTTTGTTGCATAATTATACAAGAAAAAAATGTTTTTAAGGTTAAACTACAGGATTACACCAAATTGTATAAGTTAATTGTTGAGTGCATTTAATATCTTGATAATTATTAAGATATGAGCCATCACAATGCCATGTTATTCTCCATTCCCCTACCCCAAATTATACATATTAAAAAAAAAAAAGCTAAACTATACAATCTAACTTTGAATTTATGAATTTACTAAGTTACTTCTATGAGGCTATTTTAAATATTATTTTATTAATTTTATAGGTAAAACATAAATCATATTATATAATCTATCATGAAATATAAATCAAGTAATAGGAAATGACTAATGAATTAGCAGTAGCTTTTTTATATTAATTTTTTATATAATTTTTATATATTATTAAATAAATAGATACATTCAATATTATGTATCTTAAATAAATAAAAAAAATTAAC